ATGTAATGCGTGTCCACACGCAAGCACAAGTATATACATATATAACTATATATATACATATCCAGATAGAATGTGCACTATCCATAGATATCCATAGTATGTACGATAGTATGCAATAGTTGGAATCATATCGTTTATGTTGCATCTGCCCAAAATGACCGACATCTGTTGCACATGCTGGATCATGCTGGCACTTGTGGGAGTTCCATTCAAAAGAGGAAAGGGTCCAAACGCTATTGGCTCAGGGTCCTTCATAACATCTCCTATCTGAAGAGTCCCGCTGGTATTCTTTTTGGCGACCAAGCCGCTCGCACGAGATTTGCTCTTACCCAGCTTCACCTGCAAGTCAGCTGACGAACTTACATTCTCTACATATGAATGGGCGTACTGCAGTTCTGCACTCCCGGCTGCTATCGAACTGAATGGAATGACTATGAATAGGGAGACCTTTCATATCCTCCTTATCACCTGCGTTTCATGTGATGTTGGACAGGCGCCTTGTCCGGATAACCATATTTCTTCATCAGAGGATCGAATTCTTGATGCAAGTTTTCCAGCTTCAGGATGTGTTGGCATATACGCCCATTGGCAGGATTACCTCGGGAAGAGAACGCGCCACTCCAAGATGGGCCTCTCTCGACTTTGCACCTTCACACCAAAAATAACAATATGCCAATGCAAGACATGGCAGCACCTGCTAGTCCAATAGCATACTACAATGCCTGAGCACCAAGCCATTGTAGAAGGCATAAAAGACCTGCGAAGGCAGGAACGATCACTCTGGGGTTCTGCCTCCCCCGAAAAAGCATCAAAAAGCTGCATCTCAACTACAGAAGCCTGGTCTACTGTCGACAGTCCGCAAGGGGCCTGGGGCGTGAAATGGCAGTCTTCCAACAAATATTCGTTTCCTTGAGCCTTTGCCAACTTCTCCTGGAATCTCCGCCGCACTTTGAGTGACTTTTTTTCCCCCCTCCCTCTCTCTCTCTCTCTCTTTTCAAGATCGGTCAATTTCAACACTTATATAGAAGGCGAAGAACCATGTGGCCCCGAACATCACCTTGCTTTTATACTCTTTCTGGCTTTGGAGAGGGGCTTGTGTGGTGTAAAGCATGTACAACTATCACTTGCTGCTATTACTAGGTGCTATTTTGCGAATACTTCAGACTCAGATTGTTGATCAAAGTAAAGCGGTCCCTAATCAGTGGACACAATGTCGACACAAAAGCACCTGCATGATCCTGCATGTCTGGTGCTATGTGGTCTGGGATTTTGTCTTTCAAACGTATTTTGACTTATATAAATAGCTTGCTTGGTCCTTGGTCTTCACAGCTTTGATGCAACCACACCTGACTAACGCAGCCCATCCTTAGACACCACCGGAGCTCCTTGGTGAACTTCTCGAGTGCTTCAGCACTACAGCCAGTTTTTTGAAGATGCCGCCATCTAGTGAAGCAAGGGAAGCTACTGCATCAACATGAATCCAGAAAACACATTTTACAAAATGGCAACTAGGAGCAGCTCCTACATCTCTTCCGCGCCTCCAGTGGCTAAGGTAGCGAGACACGGGTTCCCGGACCACGCAAAAGGCATCACACTCCTGCGTGTAGGTCGTTGCCTCAAACCAGTCTTACAAATCTGAACCCCCGCAATCAGGGATGGGGCGTTCAGTACAGCATTCTTACCACTGGGCTCCCTGCCAGCTGCGAGTCCCAAGCTGGTGGAAAATGCCAGAAGCTGCATCGATCCTGAGATTTCATGAATTGAATCAGTGAGAGTTTTGAGTTGACGGCCTTGGTTTTGAGTTGGTCTTGCTGACTCTCCCAGACATCGTCTTCTGAGATGAAGAATGCAAGGGGCCAAAGCCAGGAACTGAATCAAATGCAAGCTTCCACGCCAGTGTTCTTGGGTGGTTGTGGTTCGAAGGACTTGTTGATGAAACCTGAGTGAATTGCAGTGGCTCCATTGTCCATATCCAGCTGAGCATGCATGACATCCACGAAGACATCAAGAGTGTGGCTGAAAGCGCACAACTAGTCCCGTCTTTTAATGTAGTGAATCGAAATGAGGCTGGCTCACCACAATAAACAAACACGACTCTACCATACTCCACCGCATACCATGATACTCATGAAGAGCAAATTTGTGTCATCAATGCTGCCATGTGGCAGCAGTCAGCGCCTTCCATTCACAAACGAAGGGACAGATTTACGCGTTTACAATGTGCCCCGCGGGCCGAGGCTCAAGGGTGGCTACCCGAAGAACACTGACACAGCATTCCACTATCAACGTCCGTACAATACAGGCGAGCATTTTAACATAATTAATCTATTTACAGTACGTTTTAACTGTCCCTCAATTTCAATCCATGTCGGTGGACAGCGATGTTGACCTATGAAGATCTATGAAGAAGAATTACATCAGTTAAGCGATTTCCTCACCAATTTGTAGATACTATTTGACTCAATGTGAACTTAGCAATCTTTGCAATGCCCCCAAATCTTGACCCAGTGTCTTTGTGGTGAAACAGTTCTCAGGCCACGCAAGTGTCACAACCAGCAGAAACACAAAGCCACATATTGAAGGACCAGCAGAAACATCTAGAATCCCCAGTAAAACATTGACAATGTCTTTTTTGGCGAAAGACAAACGACAATGTTACTTATTGCAACCCAAAAAGCAACAATGTGAGATGTTTCTGCTTTTTATCAACATTGTTAAGGTTTTGGCACAACGTGAGGACAAAAGTGACAAGTGGTTTTTCAGGAAAGCAGTGGCAGCCACAGTCCCATCGAATCGGCTAGGGATGGATCTGAGAAAACCCCACGGTCTCCGCCTCCGAAAAAATGATCCATGCCGTTCGTCGGCGATGTAATAAGACCCGTTTTGTTGTCAAGAGATGTCCAGAGTGGGACAAACATCTACAGTAAGACCACTGAGATTGGAATCGCGAACATCCGGTGCAAAAAACGTTGGTCCTATGGTCGCTACTCGCGGCATGACATGACCAAACCGGCTAGATCTCTCACACATCCAGGTCAGCCCGCCTGACCAGCCGCAATGCTTCTTCGTTTCCTGAGCGCGAGATAATCAGGGGTCAAATGGAAAGCACAACAAAAGGGCAGCATTGGTCAACTCTGCGCTGTGTGCACTGGTTTTCTTGGTCCTTTCAAATCGCAACTGCCGGCATGCTCGATAGAGTTCAATCTGCAAACAAGTTTCGCATCGAAGCCTGTCGTCGCACATTCCCCAAAAGCGGACGTCCTTCTCGATCTTCCGCATGGAAATGCCTTGAAGCCAGCGGCAGTTGGGAATGCACAAACATATCCCATGCAAAATAATACACAGTAAATGATCACTGGTGTTCATATATACTGTTAAATATATTTCATTATTTATCATGCTGTGTAATGCAACCCCTGCGAGCTGAGCCACAGTCACCTGGATTCTCGACCACCTGATTGTAACCTCAGGTGGTCAAATTCTTTTTGCTTTTGCTGCGCGACTGGCAAGCTGGGAGCTCGGCCATAGGCTCGTGCAATGATGCCTTCGATATTGGAGCCACCCGCCTGATGGTATGCCATCATGCATGTCCCAGGTGTCAACGGTGTCACGCCAAGGGTCCTGGAACTGGTATGTTTTCTCCACCAGTCCCAAGCGCCTTCGGGATGTGCACGAAGGACAAGCAGGACTTTAGAGCTCGAGGCGCCTCGAGTTCGAGATGAATCCCTTTTCACTAACGGCTAACGACGTACCTCGTGCTTCGCATCTTCCGGATGACATCGGAGAAACGACGTGTTGAGTCGTACCCGACTGGGTCGCAGCAGTCAGTTTCATCACCGGGTCTGCTGCCGCACTCCGAGGATCTCCGAGGTCCTGGCAGCCTCAATGGGCGCGCCTTGGACTTCACCCCGTTCTTTGGGTGCCTGAGCATGTGCGAGGGAGATCACTTCATCTGAAAGCTAAGATGCTTCAAGAAAGGCCATGAAAGGCCCATGCATGACCAAATGGTTGGAACCTGTCATAGGAGCAATGGTCACAAAGGTTCTGAAACTTCACCAACAATAGGGCCGATGAATGCCTGGGACCACGTGAAGTGCACACCTCTTTCTTACAATGTCGTGCCGCGCCCATCGCCGCCTCAGTCGGTGTTGCCACCGGGCTTGGCACCTGCGGGGCCTGTGTCACGGTCGCGAGCTGCGGCGCCGGGGTTTCCACCACCGGCGAGGGTTGGGTGCCTCGGTTCCACGGCATGCCGCATGGGCAGGTTGAGGTGTCCAAGGAGCAAGTTGAACGATCTGGGTAAACACAAATTCCAGCTCCTGGCTACACACTCTGTCAAGACTGCTGAGTCAGTAGCCTGGGAGAAATGTTGACTTTGAGGAGCTCTTCTCTAGCATGACCTCAGCCCACATGCCTTCCATCATTGAAATTGTTGTGGGGTCCTAAGCTCTAGGGCTGCAACCCCTGCCCATGTCCTTACTCTTGAAGTCAGAGACACCTGTCCAGCCGCAAGTGATCAATGAATACCACAAAATGCCAACACAGGCCGTCAGTACCCATTGAAACGGCCCAATTCCATGCACAAAAAACAATGCTTTGGAACCTCAGCTCGACAACTTTACAAGCCAAGCAACATGATCAGTATATAATGGTATATATATATATATGCCCTTTGAACCGTCTTCCTCTCACATCTGTCGCCCAGCAAATGGGGAGGCATGTTTCAAATCGTTTCAACATGAATCGTTTCCAGCCTCTGACAGAAGAAAAGCACCAGCCACCAAGACAAGGGAGGCACAAACCACCACCCGCGTGCGCAAGGTCGAGATGGCTGCCTTAGAGAATCCAACTCTTGACCAGGCTGGGGGTGGTCAACATGCTACATGTAGCTGTGTCCAACCCAAATCTGGAGAAGTCCCAACAAAAAAAAAAAAACCTCGGTGCAGGGTCATGGGATGAGACATGTCCAAGTGCAAATCAGCCTTGTCGAAGCGGATTTTCCCGTCGCCGTGACGCCCCGGAAGGCTTGTGCTTCCCTGGTGGGATCGCTGCTTCGATTTCGGAGCTGGCTTCAGCTCATCTGAGAAGGAAATTCACTCCTGGTGCTGATTTGGCCAAGGACGGTCATTGGTGCAAACAATAGAAAAAATCTCTCAACCTATGAAGAGTCCAACCATAAGAGTCCTTTGTTCCCCTAGTTTCCCCCGGTTATGCCACTTTGATGGACACATGCTGAAGCTGGCCAAAGACTCTGAAGCATAAGAAGGGCTCATCTCCATCGACAATGCCAATTACATCATCATGCACGACAGGCTGCTGACCAGTGGCAGCAACACCATTGAGTTTCGTTGCCGCATGCGCGTGGAGAATCAATGTCGGTGTGCCGTCTCTTTGTGACATGAAGAGTCGGAAATAAAGCGATTCCAGCTTGGCTGGCGTGCGGTCTTGCAAAACTCTTGTCCAGAATGTCTGGTCCAGGAAATCGCTTCCAACGGAAATGCATGCTTGAGCAAACGGTGCTGCGAGTGTGCAAACGGAATCCTCTGATGGGTCTGCAGAAATACATTGCAACAGAAAGGGCGAAGGTAAAGTGCCCTGCGGCACCTGCACCACATCCCCGGTGTTGCTCTGGCCGTTCTGGGGAGAAGCAACCGGCCTGGGAGTGACATTCGAGTCCGTGACCTTCATGGCGATAGGCTCTTTCTCGCTTGGATGCAGCCCGGCAGGATATGGAGGATGCCCACACTCAACTCGAAACTGGACAATGGGCGGTACTCCAGGCCGGCGGTGGAGGGGTATTCCAACCAAGTCACCGTCCTTCACAGTGTGGTCTTGCTGGACCATATTGCCATTCAACAAGGTGCCGGCAACACTGAGGTTTACCAAGACAATCTGACCATCTGGAGTAGGTGAAATCTCAAAGTGTGATCTTGAGATGGCATTCCGCAAAGCCTCATCTGGAACTATAGATTGCCAAAACTCCGGCGGTTGCAAGGCCCTTCCCACTCGGACAATCCCAGTGGGACCTGCCAAAAGCCGTGAATTGGGCAACTTCACCTTGGCCAAACACTGCAGTGAGAGCATCTGACTTTGTGGCTCCACCGAAACTTGGAACTGGAGCGCTGGCCTCAGGGGCGAACGGGACCTACCGAGGTTCAGCTGTTCAGATTTCAGAACCCACGCTTTTCAGACCAGGACACAACCGAACGATCAATGAAGTATCACGAAACGTAACACCACTTTACTTCTGGCCTGCCATTCTCGCCCTGACCCACGCTCAGAATGTCCCCATCTTCCTTGGCTCCAAAGGAAGGGAGGTCGATCCGACCCACATCATTGAGCCCTGTGATATATGCAAGTATGGTGTGGCTGTGTACCTTATAAACACATAAATGTGTGTGTGTACATATGCCATACACATCCTTTTGCCAGCCTCGGCTGGACTGGACCGAGGTGCCCTTCCTCCCCTGCTGAACCGCTTCGTGGAGAGCCCCCGTGGCCCTCATGCCATCTGCAGCGAAAAAAGACTTGGTCCACCCCTGCTGAAAGGAGTCCCTTCTCTCATGTTGTTCGACTCTCTCATTGTGGACCTCTCGGATGGTGGACATGTCGGATCAACACCCCACCCGGCTGAAACCGTTCACCTGGCTTCCAGGGTGGCCTCCGTGATCCGAAGGCCATTGAGGAAGGTCCCCCCAGTGCTCAGGTTTTTCACCATCAAACGCGACTGTCGAATCTTCACCTGCGAGGCAACAGGGAGGCACCGAAGCAGCCGGGCAGCACACCAACCAGCCCGGTAGCACACCAACCAGCCCGGCAGCGCAAAGCCAGCGAATTCAAAAGGAAGCAAAGCCAAGGAGAGTGGATTGAATTTCAACATCTTCAACCAACCACAACAAGAAGGAGAACTTGGATATCGGCACCCATAAACCACCCTCAGACTCAATCTGCTGGTCACGAACGTTGCCCTTCATCTGGTTTTCTTGTTCGACCTAACGATCGGCCTCGAAGTGCACTCGAGAGATGCTGTTTCTGGCCGCTTCACATGGCACTACCTCCTCCCAGAGCGCTGGCTGGAGAGCGCGGCCGATGCGGAGATCCTCCAGGGCAACTGGAGAGTGTGGGAGAGGCGAAGACAGCTAGGATGTCTTTTTTCTCCTCTTCTAGTGACTCATAGATGGAATTGGGACCACACTTCAGTGTGCTTAGTTAATCTTAGCTAGACCCGAGGCATGCAGAAATAGCGGCGACTTCTTGCCTGTACAGTCAACATGTCAACTGTATACCAGCAACCAAGATCAGTCCTCACTCACTTCGAGCCACACCGACATCTTTTCCAGGCAGAGCAAACGAGCACGTGGGGCGGACGCCATGAGCCGGCTTGACCCATCCGTTCACCGGTGCACCGGTCCCACGAAAGCAGGTTTCTCCAAACGCCAGTTTCGTGTCTCAAAACGTTCGACACTTCCATTGCACATGAACCTTTCATGCACTCCATCTTTAAGGGTCAGTGGTCAAGAAATGCCCTTGTCTGATGATGCTTCTCTCATCTGTCCGCGAAGGCGCAGAAGCAACAGATCGGAGCTGCAAGCCAGCACAGCAGGGAAATCAGTACGGTTCCATGTGCTATAGTCCTGGCACTGACCATGAATAAACCAACACATCAAACCTGTGCAACATTGACTCCCTACCCAGCAGAATCCAACAAACTACCTGCCTACATACGACAGTGTAATTCTACATGTCTTTCTAGGATCACCCCCTTTTGGTAGACCATATGTGTCACCCTCCAGCAGGAAGAAAGACCTGGGCCACCAGGCACTGTTTTCTATCTTTCTGTTGCGCCGCGTCTTCTCGTGGCGGGCCCTGGGAAGGTCACAGTCGAGAATGAGATGCACTATGAGGCACAGCCTGGAGGTTTGGGGGTTTCTCTGCAAGAGAGGGGAGCTAGGTGAGGGGGAATTTTGGAGAGACATTTCCAAATCCCGCGCTGCCTGGAGCGTGTCTCACCCATGTCCCAGGCCACCGGCGGACCTGTCTCCGCCCGAGTCGCGACTGAGCGAGCGGTCCGAGCGACGGCTGTGCAAGTGCTGCCGGCGTTCCAAGGGCTTCACGGGATGAGGGGTGATCCAACTCTGCTCCATTTCAACTGATTCAAGTGTTGAATGAAGGAAAACTAAACACTTGCTGCTGGACGATTCAGCCAGTGCTAGTCACTAGTCCAATTTAGTATCATCCATTTCTGGATGAGTTCTCGATCAAGGACAAGTCTTTTTGAGATAGTCAACGGGGTACCTGGTGCCTGTGACCCCCATATTTGTCTCCTTCACTGGGCTGTGTGATGTTGATAGGGGTTCAACTTTCCAACAGATTGCCACCGTCTTGGTGTCTTCGGATGTCTTGGCATGATTTGCACTGACCTGCAGCAAATGATTGCACTGTCTGCAATTGTGCCGCATATTTTGCGAAATCTGAAGTGGTCCAAACGATACGTAAGGCAAAGGGGGTGGTCCAAACGATACGTAAGGCAAACTACAGTCACAATGGAGAAGTGGAAAGAAGATACAGTAAATCATGCACAGTGCCCTGCGATGGTTTGATATTTTTTCCCGAAAGCATTGCGAAGGGTTCTTCCGGAAAATCTCTTGAACACTGACACTTCTACACTTACACTTACACACTGACACTTCCACACTTGCACTTGAACGCTGACATTTCTACAGTTACACTTGAACACTTACGCTTCCACACTTACACTTGAACTTCCACACTTACACTTGAACACTTACACTTCTATACGTATCCCAGTGTAAGTGTAAGAGTGAAAGCATGCAAGGGCAAGTATGCAAGTGTAAGTATCCAAGTGCAAAAGTATGCAAGTGTAATGCAAGTGTAATGCAAGTGTACGTATTCCAGTGCAATCCCAGTCCAAGTATGCAAGTGAGTATGGAACAAGTATGCAAGTGTGAGTATGGAAAACTTTCACGGGAGATGTCCTAATGAAACACATTTCCCCACTTTATAATAAATTCTCTTTTAAAGGGGGAGGGTGGGACGAACAGCGTCAACCGAAAATGCAACCCTCTGCGGAGATCGTGCGTGTCGAGTGCGCGAAATGCAGGCGAGAGTGCGATTTGTCCGGTCCCCGGAAAACCCTCCGCGGAGATCGTGCGCGTCGAGTGCGCGAAATGCAGGCGAGAGTGCGATTTGTCCGATGCGCGCGCAACCCTTTGCGGAGATCGTGCGTGTCGAGCGCGCGAAATGCAGACGAGAGTGCGATCTGTCCGGTGCGCTCGCAACCCTCTGCGGAGATCGTGAGTGTCGAGTATGGAAGCAGGACATACCATGACAACCAGCCAAACCTCATCCACGAAAGATGGCCAAACCAGTCCATAGAAGACAGAAACAGGGTTGCCCATGGAGAAGCCTGGCAGTTTTGGCGAGTGGTCAGGTGGTCCAATGGATGGGAAGACTGGGTGAGGAACAACAGCCGCAACTTCACAGATGCCTACACCGTCCAGATCTGCTTCGGGTCGACGCGCTAGACCCAGACCAGGCTGGCGAAGACCCTGCTGCCCAACTAGGCAAACACCCTGAATGGAGGTGAAAAAACAAGATGTTCACATGGAAACCAACTGCGTGTTTCATACCGTGACTTCTTCCAAACACCTCCTGTGTGGACGTCGTTCTGCGGAAGCACAACAGGGCGGTTACTAGACATAGACTATCTTTTCTGTGTACAAAGGCTAGTCGCGAGCTGAGCAAAGAGAGTACGCTAAAACATATGCAGTGGCTGCTGTGTGTCACCTCATGCTACTTTGTCACGGCTTTCTTTGACACAGTCAATTAGACAGTTGGTTAACTACATCCTAGAAAAGCTGTGTCCTGGAGTGAAGTAAACGTTTTTGCCCGGAAGATATATATCGATGGACGCATCTCCTCTGACAGGTCACTGCTTTGAGACACTTCTGGCGTGGCTGCCTCAGCATTTTCTGTGTTCATTCCAGCTCGCTTTTTCAGTGAGATTCCCTGCAGCTGTGCACGCTGCTTCTCCCCTTACCAGCAGCTCAAATGCTCACGGCGATGAGCTGAGCTGTCACCGCTTGGCCGCCGGTGGGGTGTTTGGGAGGCCTGCGCGCTACTTCGTTCACTATATCTACAGTGAAGACCTTCACCAGCAGCAGACATAGACACACACTTCGACAATTGTATTCAGTTAACTCAGTTACCACGATGGGA